CGCTCCATCCATGGAATTTTCTGTATCCTTCTATAGAAAAACATTTCTACTGCTTCTAGTTTTCTCCTCACCCGCCGGGAGATTATCCTGTATTCACTGTCATGGAAGAGGATGGATAACACATCGCAATCTAGCACTCTTAAGAATAAAATGGCATATATATATATATATATATATATATATATATATATATATATATATATATATATATATATATATATATATATATATATATATATATATATATATATATATATATATATATATATATATATATATATATATATATATATAACATCTCAACTGAGGATCGAAGTCACGGTTTTAGACAACTCACTAAGTATTAAGGTGATTTTAAAATTGACGCGCTGCCTACTGCGTTACCGATACACTTAATCTTTGCTATATTTACTTATATAACGAGAATCAAACGATAGACCTTAATTGCAATTGATAATGACTAATGTAATTCTTGCCCACTGAGATGGCTAAGGACAAACGTCTTACTTTCAGGTATGAGTATTTCTAGTGCTGACTTTCATCTCAGGCAACCCTCATTATATTTAGAGGTTTGAATCAATACATTTCTCGACCTGATTTATTTCTGCTTACTATTTGGCCTTGCGTCGTATACACTCATACGTACATCCCTTTAACGGATATCAGATGCAAAGAGGCAAAATCTGTAGCAGTCGAACCAGTTTATAAGCGTGGCTCGCTACGTACAAAGTTGTGTTAACCCTTGATACAAGCTATTGCTTTACGAGCTGATTTCTAGTCGTCGGGCCATCACTTTGTTTACACCAGTAATGGTTGAATTTAACCGTAGCACAAATTAGTGTATATTTACAGTATACAGATATTTTACAATGTCAGATTGGATAGTCTGTTTGATTAAATGTACAGTATTATATGATTTCTCTTTCTTTCGTAATGTAATTGCTTATGTTACAGTTTCAGTTATTTCCCTTTAGTAACTGAACTCTCCACATTTTTATTCACCTCTGCCTAGTATTGAACTGACAACTCTTAAGTTCAAATCACTGGATTCAACCAACGTTTTATCCACTGGACCATGTGTCCTTGAGGATGTTTGATACTGAGACATCCGGAAAAAGCATTGCACGTGGAATTAGAACAATCTACCCCGGTGGAGGAAATAAAGGGTTTAGTTCGAAATTCCAATCACCTGAAGAAGACCGTAGCGTACAACAGCCGGAACGTCGTGAATATGATGAGGACAACAGTTCGAACAATGTAAGTAGTGTAAATAATTACAATAATTCATCTCAGAATTAGAGATTTTTTGTCGTCTTTCATCCCAATGTAATTCTCTTCATTAAAAAATCTTCCAGAAATAAAATATACTTTTCTTAAACTTTATTTGAGAAATATTAGCTGAATTAAAGTATAATTATATTGATTTTAAACAAATATTATTTATTTGAAGTGTAAAATAACACAGAAATGCATTTTTAAAACTAAGAGTAGCTGTGTTTTAACTGACATTAGCCATGTTTACGTCTTTGACCTTTGTTGACATATGATAAAATGGTGATTACAGTTTTATTATTTCAGAGACATTATGTGCAAAACATAATTTAAGAAAATGACGTGAGCTCTTTTTTATATAATTCTTACGTACACTGTAATCTTAAAAATGTTCTCTGTAATCTAATTTTAGAAATGTTGACTTTAAATTTAGTATGGTCATCGCTCTTATTTTCTGATACTGTCGTGTATGGTCGCTGATACTTTCAAAATTCGGCATGTTTATATACATAGAAAAATTCAAAATTCTTTTTAAATCCTACAGTTTGAAGATTAGTATTAAGCTTAACGATTTATGATTAGTAAATATAGTTTTCACTTAATAATAATCTGTATCTATAAAACAGAACATGTCTGTGTGTGTGTCTGTCTCCGTATGTATGTGTGTGTGTGTGTGTGTGTGTGTGCTATTAATGCACATCCACATTTCTCAATCCATTTTGATGGAATTTTACACGAATATTGCAATTTTATGATATTATGTCAAGACCAACTTTTCAATCTCCAGACTTTCCGGGTTTGGTACAAAAATCGATAAAATTGAAGGTGAGTACGAAGATTGTTTGAAAAGGATTATTGAAGCGTTAAAAGGAAAAATTTCCCAAAGAACCTCTCATTAACCCCAGCTTTACAGTGAACGTGCAAAGAAGGAGGGAATGTTCATGCGTTTACACTTGCAGTTGAATTAAGCTCTGACGCTAACTCCTTTGATTATTAGATTTGTGAACAATACCATACTATTTGAAAGTTATTATGGCCATAGGAAATTTACAGAATATCTAAAACATTGAAACAATTTAACCCTGAGCAACGACCACACAAGAAGCTTTTATCGATAAAATTCTTTTATTAAAAACAAACACTTGTGAAGGACATACTGTAAAAAAGTTGAGAGGGGGGGGTAGCTTAGTATACCAACAAATAATGCATGCAAGCGGGGACGCAGGCAGACATTTCTAGACAGGGGATACGGGGTATGAAAGGGGGTGCGGTTATAAAATTGCAGCCATGTACACCCAGGCAACGCCGGGTACCTCTGTTAGTATAATATAAAAGGCTGAAATTAATAGAGAATTTTAAAAGATTTACAACGTAATAAATTTTCTCAATTAAAATGAAAAAATGAAAAACATTCTTGTAAATTTCATTATTCATCGAAAATTATTTTAATTAATTCATCCAATTAAATAATGACATTGTTTTATGGCAATTTTTATTTTACAAGTCAAAAATTTTTGTTCTTAGTAGTTGCCGTAATTATTTCACTATCAGGATATAAGGGTGTTGTGGATTCCGGGATGAAATTCGGTCTCAAATGAATGACAAACGCAGGAATGAAATATAACAAATAAATGTATTGACGTAATAATACAATTGGTAATACGGTTAATAGATCCAGAAATGCGGTTAGTAGCAATAATAATATAATATACAATCTGGGAAATTCAGTATCGAAGTAGGACTTCCTTTTGAGTCTACGTGTTCGCAACTGTAACTCCTACAAAGCGGTTACCTCACACTCTCACTCTCTCACTTCCTCACTGTATATTCCCCGGGTATTCACCGGCAGCAGTACAAGTACACACTGGGCGAGTCGACTTGTATAAAAAAGGGTGGACCCCATAACAAAGGGAATTCACTGGCAGCATTGCGCTAATATTGCAGATAACTTGAGTTCGCTTCCAACAGCAAGCTAAAGCTTTCACTCTCACTGCCTATCTTTCTCTCGGGTCGACTGCTTGTCAAGACTTCGACTTCGACTCCGACTTCGACTCCGACTGAAAATATTCAGTCTCCCCACCCCCCCACTGGGGCAACATGTGACACAAGGTCGGTTATTTATTGTGGGTTTTCCGAGCCCGTGGGCTCAGCCCCAAAATATGCCCATTGAACCCGTATAAACGAGTTCAGGGCCGGTTTTACCTCCCCGAAGGAGACTCCGCCCTTCGGCGTAGCCTCCTTCGGGTTCCTCTCCGTCCGTAGACAGAGAGTTGAACCGAACAGTCGCTCAGACTGACTGTTTATTTTCGCACAAACACGCGCTAAATAAACGCGGTGGTAGTGACAAAAACCCGAGGTGTTGGTAACTTAGAATACCACCTGATTACTGACCTTCCCTCTTCACAATTAAATGAACAGTCTCTTCTTCTCAATTGGCATTCCATAGTTTATATAAACATTATTGTTTTGACATTTTATATTGATAATTCTGACGAAGCACAGATTCTCTGAACACAAAATTCACCACCGATTATTTTTCTCATCAATAAACAAAATTCTATATTACTATAATTATTAATATCTCAAGGGTGACCATTATTCTCTGCCGCACAAGAATTCACAAATCAGTGTATTTTTTCTCTGATAAAAGGCGCTAAAACACTCAGTAATTTTTGGCCGACGGCTGAAAAAAAAAAAAAGAAGATATTTGATCAAAATTTTGAACGTGCTGGAAAGGCTAAAATTGTATTTTCCGATGCTATTTGAGAAGATGTGAATATAACGAAAAAGACTGGAACTCGAACTGGAACGAGGCTGTCCAAGCCATTAGTAATTTGTGGATCCCCGTTGAAAATTGTAGAAAAAAATCAATAGATTTGAGATTTAGATCACTAAAGTTCAAAATTGATTCATTTTTCAGTACAAAGTAGACTCCGATTTAAATTTCCATATTCTCATATATTAACCAATAAGCGACGTTATTTCAAATGCGCTGAAGGCTTTGAAAAAACAACCAACCATGTTTGTCATCTGAGGGATACCTCCAGAAAATGATCAACAATATTTTCCATCCTAAAAATAGATATTTAACAATTGGGAAAAAATATTTATTAACCAATAAACTAATAAATAAATGTAATAATCCCTTTTTTTTATATATAAATATCCGTAGTGTTCAGTTGGTATTCAGTTTTTCCGTAAACCTTCGACGAAGGTCGGCTATTCGTTGCAGTGAAAAAGCTGAATTCTCAAACCTTTCGTATAATTAATTACTCAACGTTTTCACATATTTTATTCGAGTAACTTCTTACAAAGTCTAGTGATTTAAAACTAAATTAATCACAGTTGACACATACGAACGGAATTTGGTAAATAAAACGTTAGCAGTACTTTTAGCACTAACTTTCCGACAGAATTCTACTGCTAGAAAATTATATGCATTCATAAAAAATCGTAAATACACGTGACTCTCCTTATGTACATACATTCTGTATATTCTATCATACTAACGTAATTGATTCGGTTTTATTATAAAGAAAGAAAACAAAGATATTTCTGTGAGAATTTGTCTCTCAAGGATATTTTAATTCATTTCTTTCAATTTGAAAGAAAACAAATAATCAATAATAAAATTTATTTAAATTTATACAGCTGTGATTGAAGATTGTTTATTTCTTTTTCGCATACGTTTTCCTCTACAAAAGGCGCCAACCGTATATACAGCTTAAAGCACCTAGTATTCGCAAGCGGTCACCCATCTAGATTCTGTCCAGGCTTAATGTTGCTTAACTTAAGTGATCTTATGAGAACCAGTATTTCAACGTGATATGGCCGTAAGCCTATTTTCATTGAATTTTCCAATCCCAGTGTAGACAAAACTGTTATTTGATGTTAAATACAGAAGTTTGTTTCTGTTTCAAAGGAAATTACTGGAAGTATTTTTTGTGTGATCATTGTTTCGGCCGGGGCAGTGAGACTTCATCGTTTGATAACCATTGATAAATCAGCAACATAGTGTGATCACCGTTTCGATCGGAGTAGTGGGTGGGCATCGCCTTGATCTGTGTTCGAATCCACTAGCAGGAAGATCTCAATTACTAGCAATCTTAGTAATTAACAGTGACTCAGATATTGGCGGAGCAAAATATATCAACTGCGTCCGATAAAAAGGAAGATTATCTTCAACTAAACACGGCCTAATAATCTGCGTAGGGGATGAAAGATTATCTACTTACAAAAACATTGCAACTTAATGCATTAAAAGAAAAAAGCACCTTTTGAAATTTTAGACATTTTTATAACTGGCGATCACAGAGCTGTTTCCCTTGTAAACATTAAAGATTTTAGGTTAAATTATCGAAATCGGAAAAATTAGCTTACTAATTTTATAAATTACTATAATAAAGGGATATTTCACTAAATATTACATTTGAAATGTATTATAATACAGGTTCTTTAACCATGGGATCCTAAAGTAGATTAATATACTACAGCGAACATTTATTATAGTGATTTAAGTGTGAAGTGACACCATCGGATGTGATTTGTTTATCTTTGGGGGGATTTTAATGCAGGCTTATCATCTCTCAGTTGCGTCTCTGTCCTTGGACAGGGTGTGCTAAGGGGATTTTCTGTCAAAGGAGAGGGGCAACTGAGGAAAATTATACTGAAGAGGTGCCCAACCCTGGGGAACAGCTGCCCGAGGCCGCGCCCTTCCATTGCACAAGAGGGAGGGATCGGTGCTCGCATTGAGGCCAGTGCAACCGTCAGTTGCGGGGACTGAGGGGAATTTTTGTCCCTGCCCGGGTGTACGCGCTCGGGTGCCCACATTAAACCGACCTTGTGTCACATCTCATTCTCGCGGGGGAATGAGTAAACACCGCATATCATGTAGTTCGTTTGAAATGATCTTCTAGTTTCTCTTGAATTGATCCATACGTGGTTCCCGATAATAAACAAACAAACAATAAACCATTTCCATTTCACGTCTGTTTGAAAGACTGATTCCAGTGTGGAAAAAAATTCTGTATCTGCCGTGTCTCACGTGGACGTACTCATGTATGCTAACGCTGTGGAAGTTTTAAAAAAAATCAAGCCCTGGACCTTCAGGGGTGGGGATATTTTGGTTTATTGCCCGGGATGGCTATGAGAGGAAATTTTCAGGGTACTTTAAGCATTTAATGCACGGTATTGCCATTAAACCCACCATATAAGAACATTGCTTCATATTCGGTTGTAACGTGGGTGCAAATACCTCTTTTTAGGCCTCAATAATGACTTTTGGCAATCTGTTCTAATCCTTGTTCTGTCAAGCTCGTTAGATCGGTTATGCACTGCATCCTTCGATATTTCTAATGAGTGTCAAAATTTCCAAGCCCTCTTTCCTTATTATTCACCCTAGAAATGATTCTTTCTGATGTTACGTATAAGTGTTGTTTTTGTTTCCATTTATGCAAAACTCACCATTGATCACTTGGGCAGTCTATAGCAAGGATTTCTAACGGGTGTGACGCAAAAACATTACATATCAAAACTTCTTATATTGATTATATCAGTATATCTTTTTTTTTATAAGAAATAAAGGTATATATAAAATGGGTGGGTGTGCGAAATGAGGTCACGTCCATAAATGGCGCGACTTTACAAGGACTTACTGATGAAGACTGATATATGTTGATAATCAACCACAGTTGGTTTGTCGGGAATGACTCAACAATCCCACATTGTGTACGTATTGAATCGTGTCCGAAATAGTGACAACCTGTCGTTCGAACTGAACGTATTTTTCTTATTACATAGCGTACAATTAAAATAGACGCTTTCTTTTAAATTAAAAAACAAAAATTAGAAGTCGATGCTGATGCGTCGAACACACTTTCATCCTTTTTACATCAGCAACCAAATTAAAAAATAAAAATTATTGTCATTATAATGAAGAGATTATTTGTCATTCGGTTTCATATGCAGAGAAGGAAATCCACCACGTCCCACATGTGTAATTTGTGGCGAAACATTAGTAAATAAATCTATTGTTCTATAGTGAGGTGGGACATCGGGTTTAAAATGAGCAGTTTCTTTACCTACATAATGACGAGGAAACACACGGTTAATTTTAACAAAAGAAGATAAGGAACTTATTCTCGAATTTACACGTTTGAAGTAATGTCAGTATCTCGTTTAAGGAAAATAAGCAGAATTCTTAAAATCCGTAGTTTTAATGCATTTTTCGTTATTGCAATCGGTTTTTAGTGATGCACATTCGGTGCTCTGTTAAAGCATTTCCCAGATATTTAAATTTTTGTACTTGTTTGATTTTGTTATCTCCAATTTGTAATTCGCATGTTGGCCTGTCCCTTTTGCTAACAACTATTTATTCTCTCTTCTTACATCTGATGGTTACTCATTTTTTCTAACTTCCGTTTCCTGCCTTCTATAGGAATTCATGTAGATTCCTTCCTATGTCTTGAACAAAGTTACTATTATTTTTGGCAAAATATATTTTTTGTAGTGTTATTTCCAATCCTTTTTGTGGGATGGCTATATCTGGTGTTTCCTGGTTGGAAAGCCAAAACCCCAGAGAAAGCAAATCTCTAAAAGGAGGGCTACAGTTAAACCGGACAGGAAAATGCAGAGTGAGCTAAGCAAATATTTTCCCAGGTACCCTTAGGATTCCTGTTATAAACTTGGCCTTGGACCATATTCTAGCGAGTGTGTCACTAAATACTACATGCTTACTACTTTTGGGGAAAAATAACAGAGCATCTAGTCTCTGGAGGTTACAACCTTTGTACTGTATCTCCCAAATGACTAATTAGTTTTATTGAGCAAAGATAAACAGTAAATTGTAAAAAAGTTAATTAGAGCAATAAAATACAGGAAATTGTGGAGAACTATGCATAATAAAACATGGAAACACATTCTCTTTTTTCTATCATACAAACGCATTTGATTACGTTGTATTGTAAAGAAAAAAAACAAAGACATTTCTGTTTGAATTTGTCTCAATTTATCTTTCAAATGGAAAGAAAGCAAATATTGAGTAATAACATATATTTAGATTTGTAGAGCTGTGTTTGAAGATTTTTTTTAATTTCTCTTTTACACGCCTTTTCCTGGACAATTGACACCAGTCTTACATGCATCTTACAGCATCTGGTATTCCCAAGCAGTTACCCAGCTAGGTTCTGACCAGGCTTAACGTTCCTTAACTTAGGTGATCTGATGAGAACCGGTGTTTCAAAGTTATAATGCCGTATATCTATTTTCAAAGAAATTTTCCAATGCCAGTAACAAACCAAACTATTTGAAATTTGATGTTAAATACAGAAGTTTGCGTTTCAAAGGTAATTACAGAAAGTAATTTTTGTGTGATCATTGTTTCGACCGGGGCAGTGAGACGTCATTGTTTGATAATCGTTGATAAATCAGCAACATTGTGTGATCATCGTTTCGATCGGAGATGTGAAACTGTATCCTTTGAGAACCGTTAATATATCGGCACACAACGTGGGGTGTCATTATCTCAATCTCTGTTCGATTACAGGAGTAGGAAGAAGACCTCCATTACTAGCAATCCTAGCCAGTGACAGTGACTCAGATATTGGCGGAGCAAAATATCTCAACTGCGGCCGATAAAAAAAAAGATGATCTTCAATTAAATACGGCTTAACAATCTACGGCGGTGGTGAAAGAATTACAAAATTATATTGAAGATTATCTACTTTCAAAATTATTGCAACTTAATCCACCAAAAGAAAAAACAGCATTTTTAATTTATTGCAACTGATTAAGAAGCACCTATTGAAATTTTAGACATTTTTCATAGTTGGTGATAACATTGAGCAAGGCAGGAGTTGTTTCCCTTGTAAACATTAAAGGTTTGAGTTAAAATATCGAAATCGGAAAAATTACCTTAATAATTTTATCAAGTAGTGTAATAAAGGGATATTTCACCAAATGTTTATTAGAATTAATATGGTCGTGTTTAGCCCTATATCTTACGCATATAATGTCGCAACTGAGGAAAATTATACTGAGAGGTGCCCAGCCCTGGGGAACAGCTGTCCGAAGCCGCGCCTTCTCATTGCACCAGAGAGAGGGATCAGTTGCTGGGGCTGTGGGCAATTTTTGTTCCTGGCTCGGGTGTACGCGCTCGTGTTCCCTACTTTAAAAATGACCCTGTGTCACAACTCGTCTTAGTGGAGAGACAGAGTAAATATATAATGTAGTTCTTTTGAATAGATGTTCCAGTTTCCCTTGAAGGTATCCATACTTGATTCCCGATAATGAACAAAAAATAGACCATTTCCATTTCCCAGCTGTTCGAAAGGCTGATTCCAGTGTAGAAGAAATTTTTTCTATCTGCCTCAGTGGAGATACTTACCTTAATATATGCCAAAGCCCCTGTTGCGGAAGTTTAAAACATTCGGGATGAGGCTTGATTTATGGCCTGGCGTGCCCATGAGGGGGAATGTTTTCTCAATTTATGAAAAGGTATTGCCGTTATAATCACTCTCTACTAACCTTGGGTTATATTTGGGTGCATTGAAAAATATCCCTTTTTAGCCCAAGTGTTTAGCAATCTCTACTAATCACTGTTTTGCCATGCTCGTTAGATAAGTTATCTTCTGCTTCCTTCGATATATCTAGTGAGTGTCAAAATTTCCAAGCCTCCTTTCCTTGTTATGCACATTAGAAATGTCTCTTTTTGATGCTACGTATAAATGTCCTTTTTGTTACTATTTACTCAAAAACATCGTCTTCGACCACTTGGACTGAACATGACAATGATTTTTAACCGGTGTGACGCGAAAACATTATATTTGAAAACCCCTTTATATTGATTATACGAGTATATGATTATTATCAGAAATAAACGTATATATAAAGTGGATGGGTGTGCGAAATCAGGTCACGTCGATAAATGGCGCGACTTGACAATGAATTGCCGATGAACACCGATATATATCGAAATCATCCAAAGTTGGTTTGCCGGGAATGACTCAGCAGTTCCTCATGGTATATGTATCGAAATGTGACCGATGTAGAGCCTGAACTTATTTTTCTTATTACATAGCGTCCAATTAAAACAGACACATTTCTAATTAAGAATCGACACTGCTTCATCCATCAACCATATTATAAAACAGGTATTGTCAACATAATGGAGAGATGATTATTAATATGTAATGAAGGAAATCCACCGCGTCTCACATGTGAAATTTCTCGCAAAACATTAGCAAATGAAGCTATGATTCCTAGGAAATTAAACAGACATTTACATTAAAGGATTTTCTATTTGGTAAAAAAATAAAAAAATTACTCATTATTTCGGTTGGAGCAGTGTTCGTCGTTTGATAATCGTTGGGTTATCATCCTTTTCGATATTTATTCGAATCGAACAGCAAGAAGAAGACTTCCATTGTTTGCAATCCTAGTGAGAGTGACCCAGATATTAGCATAGCAAAATATCCCAATTGCGTCCGATAAAAAGGAAAATGATCTTCAAAAAACACGGCCTAATAATTTATGGCGGAAGTGAAATAATTACAAAACAATTTTGAAGATTATCTACTTTTAAAATTAATGCAACTTAATCCATCAAAAGAAAAATAGCACTTGTAAACATTTTCGATAACTTTTATTGCTGGCGTTAACAGTGAGCAACACAGGAGTTGTTTCCCTTGTAAAATTCAAGGTCAAGGTTAAAATGTCAAAATTGGAAAGATTAATTAATTATTTTATAAAGTACTGTAATAAATGGATATTTTACCAAATAATTATAAGGAACGTATTAAAATACAGAATTTTAAACAAGGTATCATAAAATAGATAGATGTAATATAGTGAACATTTATTATAATGATTTAATCCTTAAGTGATACCATCGGGTATGATTTGACTATCAATATTATTATGGATGGGTCCCGCCGCGTACTTTACGCATAAATCATGTAATCGTTGAACTAGACATTCTAGTTTCTCTTGAAGTGATCCATACGTGGTTCCCAATATTAAATGAAGAACAGACAATTTACATTTCAGAATTGTTTGAACTTGGTTTTGTGTTTCATGTCAAGCAAAAGCTTAATAATGTGTTATTTTTCTCTGTACCGGATCCATTCAGGACCTTGGCGTCCATAGCTCTCCATTATATTCTGTTTAAAATTTCTACCTACCTGTCAGACCAGTGAACGTGCAGGTCGAAAATAATTTAATAAACTCTTTCACAGGAAGTATTATTATATATAAAATTGTAACATTCCCGTCTGTTATAATTACTCGGATATTCCAATTATTCGGATTAATAATACTAAAAAATATCTTAGTTTCACAGTCAATGGAAGAGTCCTTGTTCAGCAATTTAGTATAGCGAAGGATGGTTGTCTTTCTACAGAACTCCTTTTTTAAGATACCCATTCTCTTTGAATAAGTATTTCCTTATTTTAGTTTTCACTTCCTTTGGATTTCTTTAACTAACATGGTGTTTCCGAGCAATTATAATTGGAGTTGGCACGTCAAAATACAACACGGAACTTCCATAATCTCTTTGTTAAATTTGTATTTCTATGTCATTTCTTGGTTTAAATGCCTTTTATTTCGACTTTGTACCATAGACATGATCCTGCCATACAATTTTTTATACCACCATCTTCCCAACTTTCTTTTTCTACCCTGCAAATCTCGAAGAAAATCTTATATCCCGCTTTTATGACTACATTTTCTTTTCTCAACGTGTACGAGAGTTAAAGCTCCTTATTTGGAGTTGTTTGTTAAGATGAAAAGAAATGTGATATCTCCACATGTATATTTCCTTGGGGTATCTTGCTTTAATTACCTTTTATATCGTCAATTTTGACATTTTATCATAGAGATCATCCTGTCAATATAATATTTTTATTTCACCATATTCCCAGCTTTCTTTTTTCTATCCTGTAAATCCAAAAGAAACCTTATATCCCGCTTTGAAAAATGTTAATTTTGTACTATCCCAATATTTTATTTTTCTTCCAGGTAGTAATTTGTCAAACAGGGATTTCATTTTCCTGACGAACATTAGTTTTGTGTACGACGAGGGAAAATTTTTTGTTGTTTTTTCTTCCCGTGTGAGTTCGAATATTCGTCGCCAATTTGCTTGTTGGACGACGAGGGAAAATTTTTCTTTTGTTGTTTTTTCTCTTTTCCGCGTGGGTTCGAATCTTCGTCACCAATTTGTTGTGGATTCCGTGATGAAATTCGGTCTCCAATGAATGACAAACGCAGGAATGAAATATAACAAATAAATGTATTTACACAATAATACAATTGGTAATACGGTTAGTAAATCCAGAAACGCGGTTAGTAACAATAATATATATATATATATATATATATATATATATATATATATATACTGTTTGATAAATTCAGTCTCGAAGTTGGACTTCCTTAGAGTCTACGTGCTCGCAACTGTGATTCCTACAAGTGGTTACCTCACACTATTACTCTTCCTTCAACTCTGACTGACACTGGGTATTTAACGGCAGCAGTCCAAGTATACACTGGTCGAGTCCACTTGTATGAAAAAGGGGTGGACCCCATAACAATTAGTTCCGCTGGTAACCTCCTCAATGCAGTATGCGCCTCCACTCACAGTCAATGGAAGAGTGTATGTTCAACAATTTAGTGTAGCGAAGGTGTATGGATTTTTCTGATATGTTCTATCTTAATATAGATGAATCCAGCCATGCGTATTATGCATCTGGGGAATAGCTGCTTGTGGCTGCACCCTCTCATGACACTAGAGATATGCATCTGTACTTGCAACGAGGCCAGTGCAACCGACTTGGCATTCTCTCCTAATCCCTGTTCTGCTATGTTCGTTAGACAGGTTATTCGTTGTTCTCTTCGATATGTCTAGTCAGTGTCAAAATTTCTAAACCCATGGCGCGACTTGGCAAGGACTTTCGTAATGTAATTGATATTAGCCACTACTGACTTCGGGGCGGTGACTACGAACAATCGGCATTATCGGAATGATGTTCTCCTACTTTTGTTCGTTAAAACGAGATATGATTGCACCAAATTAAGAATAATACTTTTAACAAAACATATTTTTAAGCTATTTACGAAGTGTGGGTATTTTTGTGGATTTTTTTAATGTTTTTTTTCATCATTTCGCCGAGGGTTTTGTGGCTTATGCTTATAGAGATTTGCCAAGAAGTCATTAAGTCTTCCTGTCTTCATCCTCTTCTCTCTGTTTTT